TCGGCAAAATATCAGCTGGATGCGTTAGAGCACATTGAGAGGCGTGCCAAGAGGCTCATCGACGATTATGCGCTTGTGTAGGCTCGGCTTCAAAGCCTCGAACACATGCAAGCCTTTCGGTTTTCTACCGGATACATTTCGGTGAGTGTGCGGGGGAATCGCACAACTTGATTCCCCCTAGTCCTTTCCATCATCGTACCACAAGACAATCGGCGAAGCGTCACCGATTCATGGTAGATGTTCCGCCCACACGCACGAAGCGCTTCGCTTCAAGCTTCCTTGTGCGTATTGCTAAAGAGTGGAATTCTTTGCCAGAGTCTGTATTTCCTGAAGGGTGTAACCTGGGAGTCTTCAAGGCCCGAGTGAATAGGTTGCTTATGGGACGACGTGCTCCATCGTAGACCGCATCATCGCTTACCACCAGGTGAGATAGTGGTCAAACGTCGCCCCATCAAATATATATAAAAAAAAGCCGGTCTGACGTGATGGTGTCACAAACATACACACAGATACACAAACTATAATATTAGTAAGATTATTATTTACATAAAATAAATAGTTTAACGGAGTTCGATATATTGGTATTCATACTTTTTATGACATGGCGGTAATCGAACAGACGGATTGTTAGTTTTATCAAAATATATCTATGGTTTATGTCTATGGAATAAAAATGGTCTGTGTATTGTCTATGGCCAATGTACATGGCGGTAAACGAGCAGACGGATTGTTAGTTTTATCAAAATATATCTATGGTTTATGTCTATGGAATAAAAATTGTCTGTGTATTGTCTATGGCCAATGTTTGTATCTCTGGTTTTAATAAATTAAAGTTATTCGTTTGTTAAGCTTCCATACTGGTGCTTCAATTATACGGATCACCTGATGGTAAGCAATCAGCGTCGTCCATGGACACCTTTTTTTTGTCCATGGACATTTGCAACACTAGAGGGGTTACTAGTGCAGTGCGTTGTCAGCCTATTAGGGATTGGGGATTTGGGGATTTCAAGGATGGTACGGAACTCTTCATACACGAGTCCCACTCAAAATTGTCAATTTTTTTTTTATCACGATGTCCTTTACTCATTCTAAAATAATTGTTAGACCGAAAGATTACTAGCTTAATTTAAGCTAGTCGACTGGGGAAATACCTTTTTGGCAAAAAAGCTACATAAAAACTAAAACAGTAATGTTTTTGACAGTTTTTAAAAAAGCCAAACTTACACGCCTTCCTAAGTTATATGGTGTCGATGGGGTTATAGCAAATTCACTATTCACTATCTTCTCGCAAGTGTTATATGAGGATGGGCAGACACCATGATGGAATAAACCATGAAATCCCGAGCGTACAGCACGGTGCGATTCGCGCGCGCCTCAAAGAGCCATCAGACCACCACGGATGGGGTCCAATAGGGCTGATGCCGATTCTGAGTCGCGGAGAGCCTAACGGGTTACCGGGGCTCCGGCTCGAAGTGCAGGAGTAGGAACGGGGTGGTTTTTAGTCAGTAAGAGTCTGACACTCCTTTCCGCCTCACCCAGGCAGAGAAGTCATTCGATAATTTTCCCCTGTTGAAAAAAAATACACCATGAAATTTATTTCGTTTTCATTCCGCGGCAAACCAACTTGCCATAAGGAGTACTTTCGATTGCTTACTTGATTACTTGCCTGGCGGGCTTTCTGCCCAACAGTTGTTCGTTGGGATGTTGGGATTTTCTAAGTGTGGGAGAGCCGTGCTTCTCTTGTTCTTTTCGACGTGAAACAATGCCTTCGTTGTGTTTCGTCGTGTGAGTGAGAATACCGGAGGCCCAATTACCCCCTCCCCAATCCTTAGATTCCCAAAGATCCTCAAATTGTTAATCCAAAAGACCGGTAACGCACTTGCACACCTCTGATGTTCCAGGTGTCCATGAGCGACGCCAATTGCTGACCATCAGGTGATTCGTCCGCTCGTTTACCGGCTGATCCCATAAAAAAAATCCATAAATGTTTATAAGCATATAAATTCACATGAGCGATGTATGAGTTTTAGTGCCATCTATCTTTTGTCGTTGGAACTTCAATCCTCGCCACACTTTCCATCTGACCCCAAGCTAGTTTGACATCTGAGTGGCGAAAAAAGTGCTCTCTCTAGGGCCCCACTGGTTAATCCGGTTTTGACGCACGTGCTTAAAAAAAAGTAATAACTTGATAACCGACCTTGGCAATCATATTTTAATCGCCGGGGTTGGTCCGTTAGTCGACTCAGACATAAAAACACGTGAGTTCAATAAATCATAATAAAAATCGTTGGTAAGTTTTTTTCTACCTAAGTCGAGTTTTTTAGGTATACAGATTTTGATATGGTAGTAGGAATTTCACACTATTGAATGTTTTTTTTAATTATTGACGTATTTTGATTAATGGTTGACGTAGGAATATGATATAGGCTAATTGAGGGAGTGCCATGCTCGCTCGAGATAGGCACGAACGATCGACCGAAATGATACCAGGTCCAAGCAGAAAACCGACATGAAACATCACTTGTGGAATGATCTGTCGTCGCCGGTATTTCCGAACCGATACGACCTTCAAACCTTAAAGAAAAGAGCGTGCTCCTTTTTAAAAGGCCGGCAACGCACCTGTGTCTCGTCTGGTGTTCCAGGTGTCCATGGGCGGCGCTGATCGCTTACCATCAGGTGATCCGTCTGCTCGTTTGCCTCCTATTCCATAAAAAAAACTTGCGTTGTGTTTCGTCGTGTGAGTAAGGTTACCGGAGTCCCAATTATCCCCTTTCCTAATCTCCGCATCCCCAACAATCCCAAACGCCCCTTTTGTTCCAGGTGTCCGATTAGCGATTCCGAGTGCATCCCATCAGGTGATCCGTCTGCTCGTTTACCGGGTTATTCCATAAAAAGTTAAGCTCTTTTCGAGTGTCAGTTTCTCGGTACTGACCGAAATAAAGCTTCACTAAGGGATGGCTCTTAATGACACTGTATTTGCTTGTTCTGAAGTATGGATTCCCATTGGATGATTTACCTTTACACCCACACTTAGCAGGTGGATTTGAAACAGGTATTAGTCAGCCATAGTCAGCCATACAATATTAAATGTCGTGTTAGCCCAGAGGTTTAAGACTGCACTTCTCATGCATGAGAGTGCGGGCTTGAAACCTACCAACGGCAAGTACCAATGTGACTTTTTCCGAGTTATATGTACTTTCTAAGATTATTG